TTCTATTGATTCCAAAGAATCTAGGGAAGTTATAAATCATGACGTGTAGATATTTTGTGGTGAGATGAACACTGCTTTTTAAATCATTAGCAATAATAGAAGAAAAAAAAGTCTATTTATTACTATAGTGCTTTACACTCCTTGTGTCTTAGATTGAACTTGAATGTGCTGATGCCTTATTGAGATGTGTAGACATCGATGTTGTATTGCTATGCACATGTTTTGGCTGTTAGTCTTCGTCAGTCTTCCAGTTGAAATGTCTTCCTGACAAATATTAATCCTTTGTAGATTTGATCTTATTTATGTATCTATGTAAGCAGGACTTTATGTACCTTTATGTACACATTCCCCTAAAAAATTAATTTATAATAAGGCTTTTAAAAGAGCCTGAGGTAATTAAATAAAAGCACAAAAATATAAACGATCTGAAGCTAAAAAAACAAAGTCTCCTCCTTGATAATTGAAATGAACAAAATCAGCGTCAGTGAAAGTTAATTTGACCCTTTTATTCAGTGTTATAATGTTGAGATGATGCACGATGAACGATAGAGAAAGGTCAAGTTTCACCAACGCCTGCCTCACCACCCAGTGCTGATTGACCCGGCAGTGTGCACCAGATACATCGCCAAAACATTCCTCGCTGCCAAATCCACTGAAATACTTTAAGTTAAGTTTTTTTTACAATAAAACCTCTCAAAACGTATAGAATCTTCACTCCTGTCACAAGTTTTTACATAATTCTACAAATATTTGATGTGTTTATTAAAGATGAATCAGTTCCGTTTTTTATGATATTCTTGTCTGTAGGAATCAGACGAACAGAGCTGGTGAAATTGATGCTATTTCAGTACACACAGTACATCGTCATACTATTGATTCTTAGTTTTTATAACGGTCCATTCATTTCCTAAATTATTGTTGTGTTTTTGTTTTTACACCACTGCGATGACATTTCACATTCAGTATGTTGTTGTTTTTTTCCATTATGTGAACATTTATATTGCAACGGAGTATAAGGAGACAGCTTTGGGATTTTGTATGAAATGCATGACATTGTCAAAAACACTGGAACGACCTCTGTAAACTGAAACGTGGTTTGTTTGCCTGTTTTCTTTTTTTTTTTTGTATCTAAGCATAAACTAACTATTGTATTTGGGTTTTTTCAAATGCAAACACAATATTGTATGAGATTGTATATTCTTCAAGTTGTGCGGTTGTTGTACATTTGAGCGGTTTTCACACGTTGCTTTTATTCGCCTTCGTTAACAACTACCTGCCGCACATTGAGAGCCCTGTTACAGCACAGCCTCCAACTATGCAATGGCTGAAGTTGTGCCTGTAGAGCAGCGTCACGGCTCGACAATGTGATCTCCTCATGAATTAGTCTAAAACAAAGTGATGATCTTTTTTAATTAATTTAAGTGCCTTACAGTCATTTATTTTACCCTGATGATGCAACTTTGTGTGGATGTTTATTTTGTTGTTTTGCTGCTTCATGGATGAACCCGCGGAGCGCTGAGTTATACCTTAGAGAGCAATACAGTATACGACACACTAAAAAAACCACAAGACCAAAGTGTTCAGTAGAAAATAAATAGGTGGAGCATTGTGAAATCAATCATCATAAAAGTAAAGAGAGTAAAATATGCAATTAAACCACTAAATTCTTAAGTTATGACTATTGATCATTGTTCATTGTTAATGTATCATTCTTATTCCCATAGCAGCAGCAGCAGAGTTGTATTTATTTAGTAAAGAAACATTTATTTTAAAGTGCCTTTTAAAGTCTGTTTTTATTTCATATCATCATTGTCATGAAACTTTTGATCAGGGGGAAATGTTGATATGAAAATAAGAATGATGAAACAACAATTTATTTAAAAATACTGCAAAAAAAAGAATTCTCCTTTACGTTCTGATTATTTATTTCACAAAATCCTCCTTATTCAGCATAGAAACATTTGGAGCTCTTTATATTTTGTTTGTGCATTTTGTGTTTTTTTCCTTATGAAGGTCAAACTCTACTCTGAAGAAAGTGTTTTTTTTCCAAGTTTGTACTGAATATTAATTTTGAGACTAGTGTGAATGTAGTTCAAGGTGATAACTGCCAAAAAATGTGTTGCCAAATCTCCAAGTTTATATAAAGATATGAACAGATACAAACCACTGATGTGAAGCACCTTTGTTTCTGTGTTTCTGCTTCGTGAGTAAAAAAAAAACCTACAACATGATGGCACCCAGGCTCAAACATTGTGAGCAAGCAATAATCTGAGCTGGAGATCCACTTAGTGACTGATCCCTGAGCTGTCAGCCGCATCGTCTTCATCACATGACCTTAATGTGAATCTTCAGTCGCATGATGACAATATTTGTGTTGTCACATCTGACGCTGATGAACACCATGACCTGAAAGCTCTGGAGAGATGTTGATTTGATAAGTGGCCCTTTACGATCGCACCAGTCCCGAGCCTTATCGCTGCAACACACCCTGACCTGTAACTTGGCCCCTTCGACTGAACCCAGATCAGCTTTTACTCTAATGGAAACTGATAAATCATCCAAACCCTGAAATGTGACTGATGAGAGTGAACATCAGCGTCACACACACACACACACACACACACACACAGTGGCTGCGGTGGTGACGGCAAATGATTTAAAGCCATCACTGATTTCTCCATGAATACACCGACTGTTAGTTATTACGATGGCGTAAACCACTAATGAAGAATCCTGTTGTCTTGTTTCAGACCTGTGCTCGTTCTCATCTCTGTGGTTCATACGACTCTGCTGATGATGCTACTGTTCTTATTGTTACAGTTTATATGACATGAATGTAGCAATTGTTACTGTACGCACTGGTTTCAGATTAGTGAGCTCAAACTCGTTGGTACTCGATGTGGAAACGATGTCGTGAGAAATATTAAAAGTTTTATTTGAAGGTTGGTGGAGCTCGTGTTTTTCTTCCACAGCAGCTGAGATCTCATCATTCTCACCAAGCATTTATAACCATCGAAACTTTTCTTAAAGATGGCCGACAAGACAGCTCCCAAAAAGTGAAGCCAAAAACATCTTGATCGCCACCTAGTGGTTGGCTGGAGTGTAGTTCGTAAACCCTGCCTCCTCCTTGTTAGTGGATGGAACATGAACAAAACTAAAGTAAAGATGATTTCTGTTTTTTCCAGAGTCGTATTTCATATAAATACATGTATGTTTTACTGAACGGTCCAGGCAGCATGTGTGTATAAAACCTCCACAGGAGGACTTGTGGGTTCTCATGCATCATTAGCAATTTGCAAACCATGAAATCTGCTTGCAACTAAATTATAGTTTGAAATGATCCATTTAATCAACATGTGTTGCTCAGAAATGCTAAATGTATTTCAACATGTACTGTATTTGTTCCCAGAGGGAGCGAGCTCATCGGTCCACTCCTCGTAGGCTCGGCTGATATTCTCCTCCATCATGTCATGGAAGATTTCTGTAAGATCAGATAAGTGTTCATCAATCAATTTTGATATTAGAGATACGTTTTGTTTCGTTATTATTTACTCGAGCCAGAAGATTGTTGTCGGACAGGTTTTCTGTCTGTTACTCTACCTGCTTGTCCCAGACCTGTGGGAAGAGGCATCCTCAGAGAACCAGCAGAGTGCCTCAAACGCTCCTGCAGGGATTTCTGTATCAGGGCCAGGGTGCAGTCCTGGTGCCACACGGGCAGCTCCAGTCCCAGCATGCACCGGATGATGCGGCCCTTCTCATCCGCTGTCAGCAGCCCCCTCTGGTGGGCCACATACACCATGAAGGACATGTCGATGTTCACCGCCTCCCCGTGAAGCAGCGCTGGTAAAACTCTCTGTGCAGTCAGAAAAAACAGGGATTTGTATAATTCTCAATCCAGGCCACAGAATTAAAAAAAAAACTGAAACATAACAGAAGCTTCTGTTTGACCATTTCTAATTCGGGGCTGATGAGGTGACCAAAATCCACCAGCCTGTCCAAATCATCCTCCCACAGGTTGGGGGCCAGTTCCTCCAGCATGGTTTCTATGGCGATTCGGGTGGATGCCGTGGCACTGTCTTCGCGTTCAGAGCTGTTGGTGCCGTCCGACTGCAGCTTGGTGTCCAGCAGCCTCCGGCCCTCGGCCTCCAGCAGCTGAAACAGGCCGAGGTGCTTCATCAGGGCCATCTGAGGTCAAATGGACCAGTGACAGCAGTTAAATGGAGACAAGTGGAAGAGAAACAATGAGAAAGTTGTTTCTGCAACAACATACATTTTATCATCAGCATATTTATTTTTCTACCATACCAGCAACAACTGCAACTATATCAGCCTCAGAAGTTATTCTGCAAACATGGTCAAGTTAGTAATAATGATATAAAACTTTATTTCTATAGCAACTAAGCATCTTTCTGTAGCTTCTAAAACAAAGCGCCTCACAAAATGCATCGGAATAAAACAACATAAAATAAAATAGGAAAGAAGATTTCAAAAACAAACAACATCCATTCAAACCAGTTAGAAAATCAGGCATTAAAAATCTTTCCTATAAAAACATGTTTTGAGCAAGTGTGCAACTGTGCTGAGCTTTAAGTTATTGAAATGGTTTTAAAATAAAACCTTCCTTTTTGATAGAGATTATATTGGAGCTGGTTCACGTCTGCTTTGGACCAGCTCTTAGTTCTGCTGCTCTAACTCTACATGGTCGTGGGACATATGACACAGAGCTTCTCTTTCCTCCTCTTCCTCTTCATCACGTAAATGTTTTACCAATACATGTTGCTGACTTCTTCCCAGGAGCCCTTGTGCTTTATCAGTGCAGATCCAGATTATGAGCTACATCAATAGGATTTGATTGATTGATTGACTGATTGATTGATTGAGGCGTGAATAAGCTCCTCCCGGTCAGGAAGACACAGGGCTGATTTGACTTTGGTACATTTCTCAGGTTTATGAAGGTTATTGACACACAGGCTTCAGAGTTTAAATGAATGAATCAAATGTGACAGAGGCTGCTGGCTGTGGATTTAACGTCTGGGTTAGTTTTTACACACTTGGTCATCAGTCGGCTTCCACATGCAAGACCATCAGGTTAAAACACTCTTTTCAATCCGCAACGATGATGATGCAACAACAACCTTTAGCATCTCTGCAATCCCATTGCTGATCTGACGCATCGGAAGAGTTTGGAAAAACGAGCGATCTAAGAACGTTGCCACCGGCGGGACGTAACTTCCCAGCTTGTTTTTCCCGCCAGCAAAGTTGACCCCTGTTTTTGCCCCCACGCTGGCATCGACGTAAGAGAGCACCGTGGTCGGCACCCGGATGTACGGAGTCCTCCGGCGATAGAGAGACGCCACCAGGCCCACGACATCCAGACAAACCCCACCGCCGATGGCTATGATTGGTTCAGAACGCCTGTCAATTCCAAAGTCATGAACCTCCTCCAGGATCTTGGTCACTAACTCCATACACTTGTTCTCCTCAGTGGTGGGCAGAGGGAGCATCTTATACACAACGTCTCTGGACTCAAAGTAACTTTTAACCTGAGAGCCATACAGACGATTGACCGTTTCATCAATGACGATAAAACGTTTCACAGGTTTGAGGTTTCCTACGGTCCCTTTAAGCTCCTCGTCTCCTAAATGACCCCACAGCAAAGTGTCATTTCTGGGATCCAGAATGTTTTGGCACTGAATGACTCTGTAGGTGAACACAATGGGGCTGATCACTGTCCAGCAGACTCCGTGCTCAGACTTCTTCTCATGGCTGAAGATAATTTAAGATAAAGCAACAAAAGGAAAAGAAAAACAAAAGGTTATAAACTTTGGTTGAAGGTTTGATTCTGTGCTTTGATGTTAATCACACAAAACTTTGAACACAAGTACATCAACTCAAGGAAAACTTGAATCTGTCGGTTTGTTTTGTGGATAAAATTTGGTCAAAATGTTTTCAAGTTCAAATGTTTGTTGAATCCTGCAGGTGCACATAAATACCCTAACCCTCTTCAAACCAGAGCAGAGGGAAAACAAAACAAAAAGACAAATACAAATATCTCTGAAAACATCAAACCTGTCCTGAAAGTTTTCATAGTGAGACTCGATATTTAGAAATAATATTTTTAGCTGTTGCCCTGTATTTCATTCCCACAGCTGCTGTACATGATGTACATGTAAGTGACCTCAGCCTAAAATAGAAAAGTATTTCACCC